TCCCCTGCTGCCCACGGAGCGGTGAGCCCGGCCCCTGTGAGCAGGCTGTGTACGTGGCCACTGGCAGGGACAGTCTGTGAAAGAGCAACCCCTGCCCAGGGAGGATGAGAAAGCACTGCCCCTTCATCCATCCCAAACTAGCAGACATACAACGTTTGTTTCTTCCTCACCTGCATCTCTTGTAGGAGAGAGTATTCAGTTTCACAAACAGATTAGGGTTTAAGTGTACAGAGAAGTGGTTTGAGCGCAGTGGGGAAGCAGCCAGAATGTAACAAGGAAACATAGCCAGGTTACAGCAAAACAAGAGGCAGACACGTAGACTGTTTCTTTCTTTATTTTGGACCCTGGATGCTTACAGAATAAAAGCACACTACCAATTGCCCAAAACATGTTTCTACCTTAAAAAAATACTGCCTGCATCAAACATTCCTGGCACCTGACAGTACTACAAAGAGAAATCATCATTCAAGCAGATTTCTTTTCAGAGTATGCAACACATAATGAATTAAAAAAATACACACTGCAAATATTTATTACAGGTGAGGAGCCTCCAGAGACCCGACATGATAGAGATAATAAATTAAATGACAATAATAAGCATGACACAATAGAGCACCATCTGCTCACTCAAATGTACCATCTGTTTTTTCCACTGCTGTTATTTATGCTCTGGTCTTCTTTTAGTGACAATGGAAGATAGTTCCAAATATACATTTCACGAAGTTCAGGAAAAAAAAGAAAAAAAGGAATACTGTTTATCTATTGCTCTGAATAAATGCATGGCATGATCTTTTCCCACTTTCTATTGATTTCAAAATTGCTGTTACCTAACCCAAACATATTTTCTGACACATGGTATATTAAAGCATTAGCAACATTGACAGATGTTCCTCTCTTTTGGTCATCTCGCAGCTTGCTTGGGCATGTATCAAGCCTATGTGCAAAAATGTGTTCCATCATGAATCATCTTTCATGTTTTATTAACTCTAGGCTGTTTTTATGCAGCACTGAGATGCTGGGAAGATGTCCTGTGTGGCTGGAGATGAATTTCTGCAAGAGTGGATATTATTCACTCTTGGAGGTGACCACAGACTTTGACCGCACACGGGATTTGTGATGCTCTCCTAGCAATCAGCACGAAGATCTTGCAGCAGACACTACCAGATCCTTTAAGACATTGTCCACAGTCACCTGCACATTTGTACAGTGCCAAAGCACAGCAGGGCTCAAGCCCCAGTGAGATTTAACTATATTCTCAGTCAAACCATGCTGAAAGAGAAGAACTAAGGGAATCCTCTCAGCTCCACACACAGAGTACCCTGGGCACTGTGTGGCGATGGCAGGCAAAGTTTCTCCCCCTCACCACCATGCAGGGCACTTAAGCCACGTCCCACACACAGAATCATAGAATCATTATGGTTGGAAAAGACCTTTAAGATCACCAAGCCCATCTGACGCCTCAGGGTGCAGCCCTTCCCATGGCGGTGGGTACATTATCTCTGGGTCCTGGAGATGCTGCCTGCATGAGTGATGAGAAGTAGGGGTGTCTGTCCGGAGAGCCTGTTTGTGGAACACGGTCTGGGGGAGCAGAACATCATGTCTTTGTAAAGGGACATGTAAAGGGAGGCAACTAAGCCAATCTCAGAGCATGCTGCCCATAAAAGAACTGGTCCCACATCCTCCCATCCCATCTTATATCCCTGGTTTCATTCATTTGGTGATTCATCTCACCATGGAATAAGCTTCCCCCTCTGTACACATGCTGCTGTCCAGTGACGCAGGAAAAACTGAGGTCTCTAGTTTATCTTTGGACAACTTTTAGACCTCAGTGTTATCAGAGAGGAAAACCACCTTCCATGTGTATGAATCACAAGACGCCACTGAGGTATAAAGTGGCAGAACGGAGTCCTCTGTCTCTGAGGACTTTTGCTGGTGGGCCGGTCATCTTTTATTGCATAGTGAATATTTCTCATTTCACTCCTGCCTACAAGGTGAATGGACTGATTTGTTTGTTCAGAGGCTTTTAACTGTCTCAGTGTATTTCTTTAGTTATCTCTTCATTGTCTCTTGACCCATGGATGTTCAGAAGTGGCTAATTCCTCCTTCTGGCCATATGGCCACTGCAGCTCAAAACAGAGCATTTATCTTGATGCTAGATGGGTTTTGTTTAAGATCCTAATGTGTTTGACTCCTTCTACTCAGTGGTATCAAAGAAATATTGTGTGCAGGTCAAACATACAACTCTCTGCCCACATCGTGTTTGATAACCTGAGATAACAACAGTGATTCAAAGGACTCTCCCAGTGCACCTTTTGGGGAATGGCCCTTCTTATCCATCTGGCAAAGGCGATGGCACCCCAGACCCTATTACCAAATGAAAAGTTAACTGTCTCTTGGGTCATGTCTGCAGCCCCATCTGACCTTTAAACAAGTACCTGTTTTGCTGCTTCCACTCTGTCTGAATGACATTTTTTAACCTCCCATGCTGCAATTCCTGCCATGATGCTGCAGTATGTCCCTGCTCTGCTAATAATGTTGTCCTTACTCTGCTTCCTCCTTCCTACAGCTTCTCCACTCTTCTCCCCCTCTTCTGCTGTCACCACCCTTCCCTTCCCCAGCCCTGCAAAAAGAAGTGCACTCTGTCTTCTCGGCCCTCTCCTGGCTGAGAAAATAAAGAAAATCCCTATAAAAATAATGATCCTGGCTTGCACATAATGTCTGTTATTGAAAATGGGAAACACAAGGGCTCTGAGGGACCTTTACCCCCCGGGAGAGGTAATAGGCCTGCAAGGGGATAGGAGAGAGGGACATATTCAGCTGACTGAGCACCAAACACCAGGCTGAGACTTTGTTCTCGCCCTCCTGAAGCCAGACTTCCTAGTGGATACCTAGGAGCAGTCGTGTTTGCCTCCAGACGTTTCCTGAAGGTAGCTCAGGAACATTATTCTCTGGCTGACAAGATGATAGGAGCGTGTGACCTCTCGCAGCACTCACTGAGAAGAGACCCAGGATGCAGAGCAAGCAAAGGGAAATGAGGAGCTATCTGTGCCTGTGCCCACCTGCAAAATGTTGCTTGCTAGTGCCTATTAGATGGTTTTCCTGACCAGGTCCCATCTGAGAAGATGAGCTCTTGGTGAGCTCACGTCAGTTTTGACTGCCAGGTAATCCTGACCCCTCCACACAGGCATAAGATAAACTTGCTACAGTCACTGTGAATTTTGCTGTGTAAAGATTGTCCCCATGAGCACCAGCTTTGATGCTGCACTGGCTTCAGAACCCAGGTACAATCACTAACTCGTTATATTTACAAATAAATGCCTTACTACAGTGGTCCCGGCCTGCGTTACCCCTTTATTTTTCCAGTTTCTTTGCACTACACCAGTCCTGTCCTATCTCTGCTCTGGGCATTTTGCATATCTTCACCTGTCTGTACTCACCTGCCGCCTCTTACCTGTGTCGGCTACCTAGGACTGTTTGGTGGGCAAAACAACAATGCTGTTGAAAATACACTGTTTCCAGCCGAGCCCCCCACGCGCCACCAGAGGTTGCCGCGGGACGTGTTCCCTCAGCGCTGCCGTCGTGCCCAGCTACCAGGGGTGCTGTGGGTCCCTTAACCCTCTTCCTGGCAGGCTGTGCCTGGGCCTGCGCACCTCCTGTATTAACCTGCAGCGCCGCTCGGACACGGGAACAAGGACACGTCTCTAACAACAGCCAGAACAAAGGAAGGCGCTGGCCGGGGACGAGACTGCGTGGGGACGAGGAGCTGCCCACAAGACTGAAGGGGCTTCATGGAGGCCAGATAACAAACTCGAGGGCAGGGACGGATTTGGCGCGGGGACGTGTCCAGCGCAGCGGCTCGTGCGGAGAAGCAGCAAGGCGGGCAGAGCCAGCCCCAGCAGCGCTCGTCGCCCGACCCTGGCGGCAGACCAAGGCGGATGGCACCTTCTGGGCAGAACCCTGGCTGAGGAAGAGCTCGGGCTCGTGGGGGAGCAATCTGTCCCCAGCTGGGAGATCCTGTCAGCCAGAGGTTGGCAATGTTGGTTTTGTTATTTGTGCATTTGGTAATGCCTCAACTATGAGCCCTGTTCCCAGAATGCTTGTACTCCGTGTGACTGATGAGTATATTCCCAAAGGGCCCTGTGTACACGTTGGACTACCACAGTGCTCCAGGAATTAACTATATATCAAGTGGATGCAATCAAGTATATGATTTTACTGCTGACAAACAAACATATTTTCCATTAAGAGCAGAATAAACAAAAGCTGCCTGTGTTCTTATGAGCCTTTGTTCTTTTAATGATGGAAGTGAGCAGCAACCGAGTCATTTAACAGTTTAAATCCATGCACTCATCAACAGAGGTCACAGAAATACCAAGAAGGAGAAGAAGGAGGGGACTCACAGGCTGCGTCCACGCGGCCCTGGCCGGCCGCGGAGCTGGAACCGGCAGCTGGAGGTAGCGCAGCTCCTGCCGCCAAGGGGCCTCTCCAGGCGCTCCTGCGGCAAGTCTGAAATCCCTCTTCTTGCTGCAAGTCACAAGTCCCAGTGCTGCTGGGCACGAATGACTCAGTCACCTCCACCCTATTGCTCACAGCAGAACATACCCCTCCTTCGGGATACAGGATCCCAGCATGCTGGGCTGCTCAGTGTGACTTTCTGCTTTTTCTCATAACCGGTGGTTGCTTGCGCTTACTGCTACAGTATATACTTCAAATATACTTTCCCATGTAGTTTTATACGACTTACATCACAAGCGCAAGGCACCCTTGTGTTTTTTCACATTGTGGACGCATCTCTACATCAGAGTAAGGCTTGGACATGCACTTTTACTCTGCGGCCGTGGTACTTGAGGATGTTAAAAAAATGTAACAAGACAACTAATGTAAAGTTAACTCTGGCTCTAATTCTGGGCTGTGACTCCTTTGTTTTGTAGCTATGCTATTTCCTCTTCCCAAGTACAAGCGATGTTGTTTACGCTGAACTTCTTTCCCTGGAGTCTCACAGTGCGCTGCTCCCCCAGACAGCAGCCCTGTCCTGGCACAGTTTTCATGAGAAGCGTAGGCACGTGTGAGTTCAGAGGAACCTGCTCCCGCCGGGCCGCACGCACGGCGTGCCTGCGGGCTGCGATCCGACACGCCGACCGACGCTCCCACGGGCGCATCCCGCCGGGGCTGGGAGCAGCCGCAGGCGAGGGAGGCCCGGGAGCTGCTCGGCCTCGTCGGCTCCTCCACGTCGCTTCAGCTCCGCTTCCAGCTTCAGGAGCTCCGCCTCCCATTGCTCCAGGCACAGATTAGGCTGGCTGTGGCAGGGGGAATCTCCTCTAAGAAATACCGGTTCCCAGCCTCATGCCTCCTGTGGGCATGGATGCAGGAGCAATACACGAAGCCTGCTTCCCAGCTCTTCCTTTCCCAGCACCCTTCCCCAGCGCTGGGTGTTTGGAAGCAGCTCAGCTCTCCCACCTTGCACAAGTTACAAGGGAATGACAGCACATGCCAACCTGGCTGCCCCACGGAGGATATTTGGATGTTGGCCAGGTGGAGCTCTGGGCCGCGGTACAAGGAACAAGAAGAGCTGCACCGCGATTTACGGTGAGGGATGCAGCATGGGGCATCACCCTGGCAGGCTCTGTGGGAACTGGCTGTAAACTAGAAGCCACCTGCGCCTTCCTGGCCCTGCTCCCGTGAGACTGGTGGGATAAATAACAGCAACTGCAGAAGGGAGACTGCGGTCCTGGTTGGCTTTGTCATATAGGAGATCATGGAGGCTGCCCAGAGCAAAAGTAGTTCAGGGCCTTAGTGTTGTCAAAAGCACCTGAGAATGCAAGAGAGAGGGAGCCCTTAGGGAAAAAAAAGGAGTAACAGACTGGCTTTAGCTGGGAAGAGATCACAGCTCAGCGTTGTGCTGGTTGCAGGACACATGATCACTGTTAATGACTCCAGGCCTTTTTAGTACCTCTGATGAGAAGCCTCTCCTCCCCCTTGGTCCAGGCTCATCTCAGCGTGGGAAAACAAAATATTTAAGGAGGTAGATTAGCTCAAACACCTCACCCTTATCACAGTTATGGGAGGCAGCAGGCAGTGCTCGAAGAAGGGCGTTAGGGTTTGACATGCCCTCTGCGTCCCGCAGTTTGGTGCCAGCTCCATAGTCTTTTTGGATTTCAGGAGAAAGTGAGCTCACTCGGTGTCCTATCATCTGCTGTGACAACACAACACAGAAATCAACCAAAGTTACATGTTGCAGAACTTCTCCATGGTTTGTGCCGTGGTGCCTCCTAGAGCTTTTTCTGGTTTTCCTAAGAAAGGCCCGTCTTAGAAAGCCAAGACATTTTTGTCATTTCCTGCTAAGCATTCAGACTGGCTGCATTGGTTCCAGCTGCAGGACCGTGGATGTGTCTGCCCGCACCGTGTGAATCAGGCTCCTAAAATTCCCCAGAGGGCCTTCTTGCTCCGGACGTGACTCAGCTGATTTTTGAGAACACATTTGAAACAATCCATAGCTTTACACATACAAATCCGATTACACTCATAATCTGACTATTATACTTACAATCTTTATAAGAGTAGTGCTGCCATACTAATCGCCTTGACTCCGCTTCCTTGTTTGTTTGGTTAATAAGCCTGGCCCTCCACAAGCAAGTGGTCTGTCTCATAATAAAACAGCACTTCTTAATAAGAAATCCTTCTAGCACTGTGCCAACTCATCCTAGTCACCATTGCTTGTTTCTTTACTTTGCTGTTACTTAAATATAGCTCCCTAAAGCCACCAAGCAGCACTTTGAAGAATGAGCCCCCTGCCTTCCTGACACTTGTGGGAAGCTTGTGCCGGGCTGCTCTGCAAGTAGGAGACGGTGCCTGCCCCTGACCCAGGGAAAACAGGGCTCTCCTGGGCACGCGGCGCTGAGCGGCACTGCCCAGCTCAGCTTTCCACGCGCAGAGACGGAGGCAACGGCAAACGAAGAGCCAGAGGTCAGCCAGGACACGCAGCGCCTGTAAACGCTACCGGAGTGAATCCAGCCCTTGTCCAAGCCGCAGCTCAGGAAAAGGGCAGCGGGAAGGAGGCAGCGGCTGCCAAGCGCAGAGGAGCCCGGGACAGCAGCTGTCTCCTGAGGAAGGAGCCTGTGCCCGGCGGCAGGCTGGGCATGCCCGGCCGTGCACATATGTGTGTGACACTGCCCCGGTCGTGTCCCGAGAAAGGGGTCAGGCCAGAAGTCACCTACCCAGTGAAGCATCCGCAGAGGGGCTCTGTCCAAGCTTAATGACAGATGGGTTCTGCTTCAGACACCTGGAAGGAAACTAGTCCTTTCTGGCTGCTAGGTATTCAGTAGCAAATGAGTAGGAGCTGGATTTGTCTAGTAATAGCTTTGAAATAGCTGGCTTTTCTGTTTGAGGGTTTGTTTTCCAAGTGCTTTCCTTCTGCCAATAGTTTGTGGTATCAGATTGTGAGCAGATTCCTTCTGGAGCACTGTCTGCATTATGGGGTATCTTCTCAGTGCTTACTACCCTTGGCATTCAGGCCAGACTCCCTCTTAGCCCGTGGAAAGCAACACTAGTTGCAACACCGCGCTACACAGGGTGAATTTCAATGCCGTGACATCTATCCATTAGCTTTGTAGGGCACCAAGGTCCATCAGCCCCCAGAGAGCAGCTAGTTCAGATGCTTCCTTGCTCTCACAAGTTAGACATGGTGGTAGGAGGTGTGGGTGCATCCTCTGGCTACAGCTTACAGTATAAGAGTAGCCTGACATAACCCGGCAGGGATTTTTGGAGCTGCTCTACCCTCCAGCCGGGGCACTCCAGCCTTGCACAGGGCCAGACTAGATTCCCTTCCTCTCAAGGAGTGGGGAACATCACACACAGTATCACTGCAACAGAGCAAATCCACAGCGGAGCACAGATCACCCGCCACTAACTGCAGGAATATGCGGTCTGCGTTAACAGGCGCCACTTTTGACAGAATAAGGTCGCTTTTGGGGAAATTGCTGCAGCACAGCTACAAAGTCAGCAGGGAAAAGGCGTGTGCCAGTGTTCCACATGTGGGTTTGGGGCTGCCAAAACCTGTGCCTCCAGCTAGGTGGGCTCCCTTACTGTCTTACGGGTGAAGACTAACACAGACACCTCAAGCCTTAGTGAGGATTATTGAGATCCTCCAACACACAGAATCACAGAATGGTTGAGGTTGGAAGGAACCTCTAGAGATCACCTAGTCCAACCCCCCTGCTCCAGCAGGGACACCTAGAGCATGTGGCACAGGGTGGCATCCAGGCGAGTTTGGAAGATCTCCAGAGAAGGAGACTCCACAGCCTCTCTGGGCAGCCTGTGCCAGGGCTCTGTCACCCTCAGAGGAACGAAGTTCTTCCTCACATGGAGATGGAACTTCCTGTGTTTCAACTTGCACCCATTACCCCTTGTCCTGTCACCGGCCACCAGAGAGAAGAGTTTCGCCCCATCCTCCCTACGGTCCCCCCTCAGGTACTTACACATATTGATCAGATCCCCTTTCCATCTTCTCTTCTCCAGGCTAAACAGGCCCAGCTCGCTTAGTCTTTCCTCATAAGATAGATGTAACATAGCTGACAAGGGTAGAGGCAGGGCACTAACTAGTGCCAAAAGCTGCATTTCATAAACTTGGTGCTTATCAGCCCCAATATTCAAAATGGTCTGACTTTCCTCCACTATTAAACAGGGAAAGTATTTTCCACATTCCTACTATGCTGAACTTTTGCAAGACTTTATTCATTGAGATTTTCACAATACTTTAAAGCTGCAGAAGGAAACCTCTCCTTCAGTCCTACTCCTCCAGTGCCACCAGAGACTGTACGGTGACAGGGTATAACTACCTGGCACAAACACTCGGTGATGAGTGTCACAGTCGCTCCTGATGGCAGAGAGCAGGAAAAGGAAAGGCAAAAGAGGGCTAAATAATAATCATCATACAATGCTCCTGCTGTCCTTACAAATAAGCAGTAATCAACAGCAAGAGCTTGCAGAGACCATGAGCTATGCCAAAAACAAACCTTTGGGAACAAGCCAAAGCTTTCTGCTGCTTTCAGCAGGTCTCTCAGGGGGCTGGAAGTGTGTGGGCAGAGAGGGGACCAACTATCCATTTAACACAACATTTTAAGATGTTCATTTAACACAGTATTTAGAGTGTCTAGGACTTTGGCAGAATCATAGGTTACCAAACTGCACCCCCAGCAGCACCCAGGTTGGATGAATATACAGGAGTGCACTTGACTGGTACACATGGCAAATGGGAGATATCCAGTGATCTCAAACTGTCATGTGGCATCCGACACTGAGGGCTCCTCTTACTCTAGATTTTTTATCCCATCGGCTGCACATTATCTTTCTCTGTGAAATTGTGCTTTTTGTTAAAAAAAATACAGTTCCTGTAAAAGTTCAGGCCAGATCCCATTTTAAGCAATGGGAGAAAAAAGAAAAGTTTTATAAAATCACAGGTCCAATTATTTGAATAAAAAGCACACTTCTATTTACAGGAATAAGCACTTACTGTGCTTGTGGGCTGTCTGAATTTATCAGCTGCCCTCCAAAACAGTAACCCAGCTTGGCCCTACTTAAATTATCATTACTGGGTCACATCACTAAGGGCTACGACAAGAGTGCAACAGGGATATTAAAGGAACTGCTTGGGAGGATGTAAACTTTAGGGAAGGGAGATGCTGCCTCACAGTGTTAAAGCTTTCTACTGCTTTTCCTTGGATTAGCAGACTTTTCTGAGAGAGCCAGCCCAGAGGTTCAGTTGGGAGCATCCCCTGGCACGATATCTTTTGGTTGGAGCTGGAGGCAACTGCACCTGCTCAGCCTAAAGCATCTGCCCTAACTGGAAATACTGACTTTTGCACGGCCAGCCCGATGCACCGCACAAGCATGCAGTGAAAGACAACACAGCAGATGTCCGCTCCCTCCCTTCCTCTCAGGCCGGAGAGGACAAATCTGTCTGCTCGGACGGGCACACAAACCTGGATTTGGCGAGTGTGATTTGGCAGAGCCCAGCGCCGGGCTCTGTTCGGGGCCTGCGCCATTTGGGTCGCTTTCCTCTCGTGTAGCTGCCAGTGCAGTCCCCGCCTGCCTGCGTCCTCACGCTGGGGACAAAGCTGAGCTGGGGCAGAAGGAAGGACAATTTACCACAGGTATTAGAAAAAAAATATAAATAGTATCGGGCTTCTCCAGAGTTTCCCCAGAGCAGCTTTTCCTGGGCTTTCTATCCCAGCAGGGCACCAAGGGAGATGGGTGACCGGGCAGCACCAGCAACGCT